CACGATCTAGTGGCAGCAAGCAGGTTGCTGACTGCAACTCCCTCACTTCACCCGAGTGTGTAGCTGTGAAATGTGTAAAAAAATGTTACCGTCTGGATAATTATAATAATATATTATAATATTAATGTGACACACTGGAGCTTTAAATCAGCTAATGATAGCAGAATGCAGGAGGTTTGTGATTGGAGCGTAGAGCTAAAAGGGGGCGGGGCTTAAAACAATCAATAAAATCACCTCTTTGTTGAAACGTCGTTCCTCTTTGAGCAGCTTCAGTCTGAACTGTTACAGACGGCAGCCATGTTGGAAATCAGAGCTCCAACTGATCATGTGATTAATAATAATTAACTAATAATTGACTCTCTCCCCCCCCCTCTCTCCCCCTCCCACACACACACACACACACACACACACACACACACACACACACACACACACACACACACACACACACACACACACACACACACAGGGCCGTATTACTCAAACTCATGAGTTTGTTATAACAGAGACAAACAATAACTAAACACTCTCTACTTTAATGTCTGTTACCGAGCAACCGACAGTTTGAATGAGAAGAAACAACAAACTGAAAGTATAGTATCATGAACAGATTGATCACAGCGATTGATCACAGCGATTGATCACAGCGATTGATCACAGCGATAACTCCGGAGATAGAGAGACGTTCAGTTTGTGAAAGAGTGAAAGTTACAGAGTTTATTTCAGATTGTGAGACGTCTGTAACACATTTATCTCGTCCTCACTACAGTAAAGGTTCTGTACTACGACCCCAGAACTGTCTCCAGGTTCCTGCCCGTCTGTCTGCAGCCGGATCAGGGACCCGGATCAGGGACCCGGATCAGGGGCCCGGATCAGGGGCCCGGATCAGGGACCCGGATCAGGGACCCGGATCAGGACTTTACAGGATCCATATTGTGATACACGGTTGGTTGTGTGTGTTTCAGTTGGGTTGAGATCATTTTCACACTCTCACTTTATGAGCCGTCTGACTGCAGTTCTGCTGCCGTCCACAAGGGGGGGGTAAAAAAACACCAGAAGAAGAAGAACTTCACTAAATATATAAAATATATTTAAAAACTTGCTTCCACAAGTTTCTGATGAGTTTCTAAAATAGTGAAAATGTCGACATTCTCGTGGATTAAAAGGTGAATCTATTAATCTAATAGTTACAGATTATTGTTCTGTATAATCTATCAGTTCATTTATCAGCTAATTATTGATCGTTGGCGTGAAACTGATCAGAGGATTTGTTCGGTTGTTCAAACTGATGTTCTGCTAAAATATTAAAACACATGATCTGACACATAAAAGAAGAACAGAAAATTACAATCTCATCGTTTTAGGATTAATTGACCCTTCATAAGCCCCGCCCCCTTTCCCCTCTGTGCTCCAATCACAGTCGAGCAAACCTCCGTCAACTTTCACCTTTCCTGTACTTAGATATGCTACGTGCTAAGCTAATCTATGTTTAATACTCAAGTAAAGTACAAGTACCCCAAAAACTGTACTTGTATGCGTTCCTTGAGTAAATGTACTTAGTTACAATCCACTGCTGGTTAATAAAGAACGTTTATTGATCCCAAATGATCGGTTTCCATGATTACTAATAATCGTTGTCTGTCTCAGTCGATGCAAATGTTTACTGTCGGTACAGGAAAGGAGGAAGGAGAGTGAAGTCCTGACCGAGGCTCGCTCGACTGTGATTGGAGGGCAGAGCAAAAAGGGGGCGGGGCTTAGGAAAGGTCAATGACGGGGAGCTTCAGGACTCTGTGGCTGAGTGTAAATCCTCTTCAGGTGAAAAATAAAAAGTCTGTAAATACAGACGCCGACCGCCCCTTTAAAGCTCGACCCCACTGCTCCTTAACCACAGAGTGTGTGTGTGTGTGTGTGTGTGTGTGTGTGTGTGTGTGTGTGTGTGTGTGTGTGGTTAAAGCAGCAGTGCGGTCGCCACCCACAGTCACTTTAAATAGTTTGACTCTGTCGACGGGGAATGAAGGATGAAGCATCAAAATACAGTTTCAGAGAATAAAAAAACCCAATCAAATAAAAACAATAAAATAAAAACAATAAAATAAAGTTACCATCGAGTTCATCGTCACACATCAAAGAGTTTTCATATTTAAAAGTTGTTTTTTGTTTTATCGTCCGCTCCGTCCTGTGCAGACGGCGGCCGTGTTGGGCCGCCTGTCGTGTGGGCGGGCGAGGGAGAGAAAGAGTTCATATGTTACAGTAGAGTCTCAGTGTGTGTGTGTGTGTGTGTGTGTGTGTGTGTGTGTGTGTTCAGTTGTTCTCGAACAGGGACAGCAGGTCGTCGTTGTTGTTGTTCGGGAGGTCCGGAGGTCCGAGGTAGGACAGCAGCTCGTCTGGGTTGGTCAACTCTGGAAGCAACTGCAGAGACAAACAGGTCCGTAAGTTCATATATTTATATTTATATTTATATTTATATTTATATGAGATATTAAACATTATATTCTCTATACACAGAGTCACATGGTGTCTCTCTCCCTCTGCCTGTGTTGTATCGCAGCCTCTCTGTGGTTTGTTTCCATAGCCGGTCTGCTCCGACTGAAACTGCTGTTTTTATCATCTACGTCGGTGAATTAAGGATTTATTTCCACCAAACCAGAGTTGGTGATTGTTGGAAACACTAACAGAGACGCTTTAATGAGTTTTATTCTGGTTCTGTCCACTTTAATGAAGTTCTGATGATCTGAAGGTAACATGAACTCTGGTGGGCTGTAGCGTCCGTTGTTCTGGAGTCCGACATTAGTGGCTGAATGTTGTTTATATAACCTTTAACTTCTGTACAAACAAGTGACATCATTGTTGGATTATTTATTCTCTGTAATAAATCAGTTCCACATTCGGGTCAATAAAAACGTCTCTGATTGATGCATTGATTATCTGACTGGTTGGAGCTGATCCCAGTAGAGTCTCAGTTTCTACTCACGTCCAGAGAAGCTTCTGGACCCTCCGCGGACCCCCCGAGACTGAAGGAGCCGTCGCCTTGGAGACGGGGATTCTGGTTGCTACGCTGCATCATCTGGTTGCCGCCCCCGAGCTGGGGGTTGCCGTGGAGACCCTGCGACTGTTGCTGGGAGAGAGGAGCACCATGGGAGTCCAGACGACCCGAGACTGACATCTGAGAGAGGAGGAGGAGGAAGAAAGGAAGAGGAGAGGAAGAGGAGAGGAGGAGGAGGAGAGGAGGAGGAAGAAAGGAAGAGGAGAGGAGGAGGAAGAAAGGAAGAGGAGAGGAGGAGGAAGAAAGGAAGAGGAGAGGAGGAGGAAGAAAGGAAGAGAGGAGGAGGAAGAAAGGAAGAGAGGAGGAGGAAGAAAGGAAGAGAGGAGGGAGGAAGAAAGGAAGGAGGAGGGAGGAAGAAAGGAAGAGGAGGAGGAGGAAGAAAGGAAGAGAGGGGGGGGAGGAGGAAGAAAGGAAGAGAGGAGGAGGAGAAAGGAAGAGGAGGAGGAAGAAAGGAAGAGGAGGAGGAGGAGGAGGAGAAAGGAGGAGGAGGAGGAGGAAGAAAGGAAGAGGAGAGGAGGAGACGGAGGAAAGGAAGAGGAGAGGAAGAGGAGGAGGAGAGGAAGAGGAGAGGAAGAAGAGGAGAGGAAGAGGAGGAGGGGAAGAGGAGAGGAAGATGAGAGGAAGAAGGAGGAAGAGGAGGAGTTGGTTATTGTTTCTAGTGAATAATAAAACATGATGAAGATGAAGATGAAGAGTTACCTGTCCAGCCAGCGGGTGAGGGGGGGGTTTGTCGGGGGTGAGGAGGGCACTGGAGAGCTCGGACTGGTAGGAGAGAGGGGGAGGACCGGGGGAGGAGAAGTCCCCCCCGACCCCCGGAGTCCCGGGACCGCTGAAGTCTGAGAAACCGGCAGACTGACCGGGATAGGACGGAGCTGAGGAACAAACAGCGATCAATAACCTGATTATTGACACACTGCACTTACTGATCAATAACAGACGCACTGCAGCCTGATCAATACTTTATATTATTATTATTATATAATACAGTTAACTGACAGGACGGCCTTAATGTTATTGATTATTGGATGCGTCCACTATAATGGATGTTTGTTGTTGTTGTTGTTGTTGTTGTTGTCGTCTTCCTGTTGTTGCTGATAATAAATCAATAACCACTCTGACCATTAAAAGATATTTCAGTACGATCAATAAAGCGTTAACCCGTCTGTAAGATGGCGAGGTGGAGCTGACAGGAAGTGGTTGTACCTGGTCCGGGGTAGTCGGGTGTGTTGCCGCTGTTGTTGCCCCCTGCAGGCAGCGAGGGGTAGGGCATCGGGGAGGAGGAGGCGGCGGAGGAAGGGGCGGGGCCTAGTGATGCAATCATCTCCATGACGCTGGGCAGCACCATGTGACTCGGGCTGAGGGTCCGACAGCGCTTCAACACCGGACCGTCGGACTCCTCCTTCACGTGGATGTCGGGCTTCACCGGGACCGGCTTCCAGCTGCACACCGGGTCGATGGTGATCTCCTCGTACTCCGAGCTGAGGAGGAGGAGGGAGGAGGAAGAGGAGGAGGAGGAAGAGGAGGAGGAGGAGGAGGAGGAGGGAGGAGGAGGAAGAGGAGGAGGAAGAGGAGGAGGAGGAAGAGTGTTAAACAATGCAAAGAGGAGGTCAGCAACGTGAACATTTGTTCTTCAGGTTTTATTTGATCGATCGATTGAAACGATCAGATAATTCATCAATTAGTTAATCGAGGGAAAATTAATCAATACTATGTTGACGAGTTTCCTCAGATTTTATTTATAAACTGAATATCTTCAGAGTTCTTTTTACTATTTTCTGACATTTAATAGACGATACAGTTAATCAATGAATCGATACAATAATTATCAATCAATAACTGAAACAACTGCAGTCCTACAAGAGAGTGAACTTTGATTAATCACCAATTCATCATTTTGAGTCATTTCAACAATCTAACAACAAAAAAATGATCAACAGATTTATTGATAATGGAAACGATCAGCAGCTTAAAGGGGATTGTTAAGGTGGAACTGCTTTATTCAGTGATTGTTAAGGTGGAACTGCTTTATTCGGTGTGTTTAAGGTGGAACTGCTTTATTCGATGTTGTTAAGGTGGAACTGCTTTATTCAGTGATTGTTAAGGTGGAACTGCTTTATTCAGTGATTGTTAAGGTGGAACTGCTTTATTCAGTGATTGTTAGTGACTGCTTTATTCAGTGATTGTTAAGGTGGAACTGCTTTATTCAGTGATTGTTAAGGTGGAACTGCTTTATTCAGTGTGTTTAAGGTGGAACTGCTTTATTCAGTGTGTTTAAGGTGGAACTGCTTTATTCAGTGTGTTTAAGGTGGAACTGCTTTATTCAGTGTGTTTAGTGGTTTTAATCAGCGGGTCTGTTTGTGTTGGAGAGGAGGAGACCTCTGTGGATCATTGGGCTCCCGGTAGAAACCTCCTGAACCATGAACACTGAAGGAATCCTAACCGGGAGAAGCTGACTGCAATGACGCCAATGGTGGTGAAGACAACAACTCCCATGATCCCACGCTGCTTCACCACCATATAACTTTATCTTGTTGTTAATGTTTGAGTGTGAGAGAGCCCCTAGTGGCAGAAAGTACACACTGTAGCTTTAAAGAAAACAGCAGAAATAAAGTTTCTTACTTTTGAACGTAGATGAGGATTCCCAGCATGTACTGATCCACCTCCAGACCTTCCAACAGAGCGGTTTTACTGCACACACACACACACACACACACACACACACACACACACACACACACACACACACACACACACACACACACACACACACACACACACACACACACACACACACACACAGACACACACACACACACACACACACACACACAGGTTACAGAGATATAATATAATAAATGTGTATAAACACTCTGAATGTCTGACATTGAAGGTAACTTACTTGCACACAGGACATCTCCATGTTCCTCTCTCACAGTTCAGCTGCAGGTACGACTCCAGATCAAAACACTGCAGACAGACAGGCAGAGAGTCAGACAGACAGACAGTCAGTCAGTCAGACAGACAGTCAGACAGACAGTCAGACAGTCAGTCAGAGAGTCAGACAGACAGTCAGGACAGAGAGTCAGACAGTCAGAGAGTCAGAGAGTCAGCAGACAGACAGACAGTCAGTCAGACAGACAGTCAGAATCAGACAGATAGTCAGGCAGAGGTCAGACAGACAGTCAGACAGACAGAGAGTCAGACAGTCAGAGAGTCAGACAGACAGAGAGTCAGACAGTTCAGACAGTCAGACAGACAGTCAGACAGTCAGGCAGAGAGTCAGACAGACAGTCAGACAGACAGAGAGTCAGACAGACAGAGAGTCAGGCAGAGAGTCAGACAGACAGACAGACAGTCAGTCAGTCAGACAGTCAGTCAGAGAGTCAGACAGACAGTCAGACAGTCAGGCAGAGAGTCAGACAGACAGTCAGACAGACAGAGAGTCAGACAGTCAGACAGATAGTCAGGCAGAGAGTCAGACAGACAGACAGATAGTCAGACAGACAGTCAGAGAGTCAGACAGACAGTCAGAGAGTCAGGCAGAGAGTCAGTCAGTCAGGCAGAGAGTCAGACAGACAGGCAGAGAGTCAGACAGTGTTGGTGCTGTGTTCTGATTGGCTCTCACCTGTATGTGTCTGCAGTCGTGACCTCTGGCGGGCAGCTGGATGCGGCGGAAGGTGATGGGACATTTTAACGAGACTCTGATGGCGGTCTGCTCCACGCCGTCCTCCCCGTTCAGCCCGGGCGTCCCGGGAATCGAACCGCTGCTGAAGTTCCTCTTTACTGAGAGACAGACAGACAGGAGACTGACTCACTGACCTCCTGTAGTTTATTTATGTGTCTGTGGTTCAGTCCAACCTGTCTGTCTGCGTGTGACACAAACAGGAAGTTCTAATGAAAGAGGGCGGGGCTTACTCTTGGTGACACAGTGCTCCGCAGGAAGCAGCCTCTTCTTCATCAGACCCTGCAGCACCGAGCGGACAGACGGCCGGTGGACCAGCTGGAGGACAAACAGGTGAGACTGCAGAGAGAGAGACAGGTTACTTCATCTTCATCTACATTTTTGTGTGTGTCTGTGTGTGTGTGTGTGTGTGTGTGTGTGTGTGTGTGTGTGTCTGTGTGTGTGTGTGTCTGTGTGTGTGTCTGTGTGTTTGTGTGTCTGTGTGTGTGCGTCTGTGTGTGTGTGTGTGTGTGTCTGTGTGTGTGTGTGTGTGTGTGTGTGTGTGTGTCTGTGTGTGTCTGTGTGTCTGTGTGTGTGCGTCTGTGTGTCTGTGTGTGTGTGTGTCTGTGTGTGTCTGTGTGTGTGTGTGTGTGTGTGTGTGTGTGCGCGTACACAGCAGCAGGCGGTGACGGTGATCTGGATGGTGTTCCTCCCCGGTTGACAGACCTGCTTCAGGTACAAAGGCTTATGGGAAGTTTTGTTGTCGCCTCGTTCGATGGTGAGAGGAGTCGCGTTC